ATCAGGAGTGTCAACATGTTTGTCTGTTAAAGGGAGTGTACATCAGGAGTGTCAACATGTTTGTCTGTTAAAGGGAGTGTACATCAGGAGTGTCAATATGTTTGTCTGTTAAAGGGAGTGTATATCAGGGGTGTCAACATGTTTGTCTGTTAAAGGGAGTGTACATCAGGAGTGTCAACATGTTTGTCTGTTAAAGGGAGTGTACGGAGTACGGACACCTCAGCCTAATATTTATTAAAAATATCGAAATCAACTTCATTACGTTTTTTAAATACATATCTTGGCTTATTTTGAAAAGATAGTTTTTTTTTACTTTATGTAGGATCATTTAGATCAAAGTATTTTTTTTGAATTGTAAATGAAGGATTCCGCAGAAAATCTTGCACATTTTAAACTTGGGCTAAAATAAAGAAACTTTTAAAAACTTGACTCACCCTAATATACATAATGATGTGATGGATGGAGTGTATCTAAACATACAACTCCGTTCTCAAAACTTTATCAGATCCAACCTCCCGCTGTTTTAATGTCAGTTTAAGAGTTTAAGGGCACCGCTGCCTTCAAAACTATTTCATTCTGACCATTTGATACATTACTCCTTGAATGTGCGTTTTAATAATATAGTGTTTAGATACGGTAAGCTTTATGAGAAATGGGACTTGGAAGTTAGGGAGAGAAAGAAATTGAGTCTTTGCCACATACTCTGATTTTCTAAAAACCCAATGTCGTAGACATTTGCTATTTCACACTATGAATTTTGTCAGATCTAATAAATATTAAAGGTTTACACCATTAGGTTGTATAGATACAAACAAGGTTTAGAAAATTTGAGTTTGAGGCAAAGACTCAATTCCTTTAGAAAATCTAGAAGACGACTTTAGTTTGATGTCAGAAAAATAGGGTCGGGAGATTGGGGCCTAGGGCTGGGGGTAACTTTATAATGTTTTAAGAAACTAGGTGGAGGATATAACTACAGAAAAAACTAAATCTATTATAGATATTAATATACTAAACTCAATAACCAATAATTTAATTTTATGAACATGAAGGTGTTAGGCAACTCAGTGGGGAGGGGGTGCATGGGGGGGGGATAAGGAACTCACAACAGGAGGGGGGAATGTAGAGGGTACCTGTCCGGGGGGGATAGGGTTTCTTTAGGAATTTAAAAGATACTAACTAGAAGTAATATTATCCTTATATGCTATAAATGTACAAATCTCCACATGTCCTCAATATAAATTGTACATAAATCAGGGTTTGCGTACAGACATGGTTTTGCGCGCATTTATGTATGATCTGAATAGAAAATAAACAGAGCTGGGAACTCTTGTATCGTAGATATCGAGATCAATGCTTAATCTTGATTTTTTGTTAATCTGCAGATTAATTTAGTATTTATCCATATCCCGTGAAGTGCCAATCAGATATCCCGTGAACAGACAATTAGAAGAGATCGCGTAAAATGCAAAAGAGCCCTCTGAGGATTTCGAAATGATCTGGATTATGGGTATTCAATAAAGTAGTTTCTAGTAGTTTCTGTTCTTTGTTTCTTAGCTTTTTGTTATATATATATGGTTAATAATAACCTGTAGATGAAGAAATCCCCGAACGAGGATTATGAAATCCGCAAATCAGTGTGTCGGATCCTGGAACCAGAGAAGAGACTTACTACCTTCCTCTCCTATAATACACTCGTTATTTATCATGTAATTCTGGTCTGATCCAGGGTTAAATAACAGTGTATTAAAGGAGAGTAAGCTAAGTAAGGTTCCTCCTGCTTCCAGGATCCGACACTACTGATTTGTGGATTTCATAATCCTCGTTCGGGGATTTTTTCCTATACAAACCTTTCATTTCAACTAAGTTGCATTGAGTCAAACCAAGGAAAGTACTTCTGGAAACCCATGATTTTCTTTATAAAAATGTTAACACTGTAGTTTGTAGAAGGAATACAAGCAAAACTATAAAACCCCAGTTCTTCTAATTGCAGTGGAGCTAGTCTAGACTATTTTTCAAGTTTTTGGGAATTATCTTATCAAATCAAATCCATATTTCTATAATCTGATCAAGTTGGAAAAACAATTATTTTTATCAAAATGTAAAAATGGCGTCTTAAAGAAACCACATGCTTCAGTATAGGTTAAGCGGAATACAGGCATTGCAATTGTTTAATTCGAATATTTCAAAACTAAATTCCTCTTTCTTTCCATGGTAACGCATTTATTTATTAGATGTTATCGACACTATTGCGCGCTCAGAAATCTATAATATCTTTTTAGTACTTTAGTACATAGAAATTCACAAGTTATTGTGTGGAAAGGAACATGAACTCTAAATGTCTATTTATTTATTTCAAACTTTGAAAATTTAATCTCGTATAAACAGTTTGAAACACCAAATGTCTCCGACATCAGGTTGCAAAAATGTCAGCATTTGAATTTTTTTTTTTAGTTATTTGGTGTAAAATACTAATTATTGTGAAACAGTAAGGGAGAAGTGTTCACGCAAAGTAAAAAAAACACCAAAGCCAAGTCCCTTGAGTAGAATTTGAATGTTTAGCATTATGTTTAATACAAAAATATGAAAATTGTTTTTAAATACATCTTATGGAAGTAAAAACAATTTGGGAATATTCTTGTTCAAACGTTTTCCCTTTTTTCTGTTTATAAACTTAAATTCAAGTTTACAGCAATTGCAATGTTTCTTTGTTATTTGGTCTCAATACTGAATAACAAGGTGATAAAACACTAATAAATATCCTATGATTATATTAAATCTAAATAGTTGTAAAAAACAATGCAACAACAGTTTCTTGATTTCAAAAATTTCCCCCCAAAAAAAATAAACAAGCCAAATTTATAGATTTAGTATAGATTTACGTTTAATATTTGTTGTGTTGGTTGGATTAAATAAACGTCAAAACGGCTGAACCGATTGTGTCCATATATTTGTGGTATATTCATGACCGCAGTAGGTGTTTTGTCGAAGAAAATAAAAATTAATTGATTTATTTAACATTTAAATTCTGATTTAAAAAAATGTATTTACCAAAACAAATCATGAAAATCAGCAAATACCGGATGCGAAACGCCCGGAAGTGTTATTATTATTTAGAAATGACAGTTATGAATTACAAAAAATAGTAAATCATTGTAAAAAACACGATAATATCTAAAAAATAAAATCATGTTTTTCCTAAAATATATTCGTCTGTATACAGACGGAATACAACTGTTTTTTTTGTGTGCAAAATATACTCTAATAGAAATAATCTAGCTCACCTGTAGGAATTATTATATCTCTAAACTGAAGTTTAAACTACCAGAACATAATAACTATACTTGCGCGGAGTAACTTGATTTAACTATCTGTATCCTAGTTCTCACTCCGGTCCCTGTACTCAAACTAGTACTAGAGAATAGTGAACTGACTTATTGCGGAGAACTAGAAACGGGCGGACGAGAGTTGGAGAGTAGTTTAAACTTCAGAGTTACGGAACCCGCTCTACCGAACTACAGGGTGCGCTAGAAAGCAAAAATAATTCACAATTGGAATTTTTGCATTAAAAAGATAAACTACTCATGTTTACTGACGTGCATCGTTTTAAGGCTCATTTTTGAATATTTAAAGTTTTTAGATTTTTAGAGGCTTGACACGAATCCTATTTCAAAATTGCATGCTTGACAAGTTTGCTTTAATACATTATGCAACATTTTTAATCTGATTAAAGACATTAATTGAACATAACGATTTTTCAAATTTGATTCGATAAAAAATATGGACCGTAGACAAATTGAATTTTGTAATAATCCCTATACAGAACTATAAGATAGTGGGACACCCTGTAATTAACAAGAAGATTATGGGACACCCTGTATTAAGTATAAAGGGTTTAACTGCTGTAATACGCTTGGTAGATGATAATCAATCATTCAATAAGAAACTTCTTATATAAACACTTCACCAATCAATTAATCAATCAATCAGTTCTGGGAGGGAGGGAAGGGGGATATAGATATAGTTTAGACGAATAGATAATTGAGAGCTAAAAAGTGTTTATTTAATATTTAACTCCCATATGTAGATAATACGTAACACTTTCAATTTTCTTCTAGATGAAATACAAACTGGGATTCAGTGTATTCTTGAAGTTTTGAGTTTTTGCTTGATCCTTCTGATCCAGGAATAAAAACATAAAAAAATTTCCATTAAGTTAGTTATATATTACAATCTACTGAAATTGTTTCTTTTTCTACTATGTGATTCATCAGAACAATTGTAAAGGCCCTTGATTAAAGAGTGTCACTCAAAGAACATCACCATCATTTGATTAGGTTAATTCACTTAAAAAACTCTAAGCTAAATACAGTTTGGTTTGGACGCTATGAGCATATATGCAACCCTTCTTCAAACCGTCAACTCGTGAATATAAATTAAACATAAGATTATATTCGCGTAGTTAACTTTTGCAATTTCATTCTTGGCTGGGCTTTACTGCTTCTTCTCTCAATTCTCCTTTCTTCCTTCCCTTCTCCGCTCTTTTATCCTTCCCCCGTCACTCTCCTTCCTTCTTTCCTATTTCACTCTCCTTTCTCATTTCTCCCTTCCTTCTCCTCCCTTCTACCGTTTTGCCTATTTCTTTCTCCTTTTCCGTCCTCCATTCATTCTCCTCTCTTCGTTTCTCTCAATTCTCCTTTCCTCCACCCCTTCTCCGATCTTTTATCCTTCTCCCGTCTCTCTGCTTCCTTCTTAATTGCCTATTTCTCTGTCCTCTTTCCTCTCTCCTTTCTCTTCCCCTGCTCCTCTATTCATTCATTCTGTTTTATTTCTCTCTCCTCTCACCTTTCCTTCTCCTGTCTCTTTCCTTCGTTCCTTCTCTTATCTCCAATTTCCTTCCCGCATCTCTTCTTTTTATTTAAAATCCCAAACTAGATCTAGAAGTGTTATTGCGGTATAGATAATATAACAAATAAATCAGATAATCTTGTCATTCTGCTTCGTTTCAAAACTTTGAATAAATATCTTGAGCTTTGACCCTTCTACAATGATGAATGTGTGTTTGAATAAAACTATATTTTAACATGTTTATAATAAATATAATTTATTTCAGATAGTTGAAATAACATTAGTTTAAATCATTTAAGAAATAAAAATAGAGATTAACATTTTCCAGATTTGAAATCTTGGAATAGTAAAAACTTGAAATGAATATAAAATATTCATTGATAAAACATTCACGAATGGATTTCAAAATTAAAACATATAACGCATACATTTTAGAAGGTAAAGGGGGGGGGGGGGGTCAAAATTGGGAGGACTATAATTAAAGGGTAGGGGCGAGGGGGATGATGAATTATTTGCTGCAAAATTTGACATTTATCTTAAAATATTACTTAGTGGCACATGCATCTATGGAGAAGGATGATAAAGAACCTGTACCTTGCTCTGCTATGGTTCAGTTTCATGATTCGTAATCAAAAGTATCAGTAGGGTAGGTGAAACCAAAAATTCCAGGAATCATTGATTAAAGACAATTGAATTTAACATTTTTGATATTTCAAACTTAGAATTCGGCTAGATTTTATTAGCAAACTTTTAAGAATTTCAAAAGTTTACTTTGTAAGGTTGCAAAGACGCAGGGAAAATAAAATTAGAGCTATCTTCCTAAAATAAGTTGTTCAAGACGTATTTATTGATATTATTTAAACATATATTTATTCATGAACATATAGATACTTTTTGTTCATTAATATATAGTTTTTGTTCATGAATATATAGATTTTGTTCATGAATATGTAGTTTTGTTCATTAATATATAGTTTTTGTTCATGAATATGTAGTTTTGTTCATTAATATATAGTTTTTGTTCATTAATATAAAGTTTTGTTTATTAATACATGGCTTTTGCTCATGTAAATAAAGATTTTTCAAATTAATATGTGGGGTTTGTTCATGAATATATTGATAGTTTTGTTTATTAATATGTAGGTTTTGTTCATGAATATATAGATACTTTTGTTTATTAATATATAGATAGTTTTGTTCATGAATATATAGATAGTTTTGTTCAAGAATATATAGATAGTTTTGTTCATGAATAT